AAATTTTAAAAATCCTTAAAAAATCCTTTAAAAATCAGTGATTGTTTTTTATTATTGTTTGTAGAACTGTTCACACATTTTTTATGTCATTACTAATTTTAAATTGTATGTCTATTTATATGTATGTTGATGTGAAAATAAAAGGAGAATAAAATACCCCTGAAGATGCTAAGGATTTTAGCGAAACGTCGGGTAAAAACGTGAAGAACAGTGTTTTCTTGCACATAAAAGGGATCAATAAGCCTATGAAATACCTAAAATAAGATAACAAAAATTGATCATCAACTAATAATCAAATTGTATAATCTCGGAAGGCCTGCCGAAGTATATATTTTTTCTTTTTATTAAACCTCAACGAAGAATCACAATAACAAACATGAAGGACTTCTACAAACATATGAAGTACAAACACGGCGAACACACATGCATGACACTGAAATGCTACAGTAAACTAAAACAGAAGTTAGCCAAACAAATGGCGCAACTTAAGTTCTTATTAGAATGCAGGAAATATAACCTACTGCCAAATCACTTGACAAACGCTATCAAGAAGGTTAATATAAACACCACATCCCACAAACTAAAAGCACAAACCGAAAAAACAAAACAACTTTTTTTAAAGAAAATACTCAATATAGAAATTACACAAACAAACATGAATATTAAGACTTCTAAGACCCATCTACATCACGCGCAACAACAACTTAAACACAGCATAAGCAAAATAGAACTGGATTCCTTTATCTGCAAGCAAGACTGCATCAGCCAGAGAATTAAAAAAGAACGCGAAACAATACAAACATCTAAGCTCCAGAGACTAAAATACCAACAAATGCAGAAGCTGGGAATAGGTTTAAACAACGATTGGTTTGTAAACAAAACGGACATAGATTTCCCAGTAGAAACAAAGTGGCTGCTGTCATTAGGCAGGAAATTCACACTACCCACAACGAAGACTAGTTTCCAACCGATCCGAATGATTGCAGAAATTGAACAAATCATACAACAAGAAAAGGATGACAGAGTCAAGGAAATTGCAAGATGCAAACTCAGCAATAATATAATACAATTTAAACGGAATATAAGACACAACTCAGCAGAAAAATTTATATTAGAAACATTCAATAAGACCAAAACTTTCTTAAAGTCGCACAAAGACGACATTATCTTAACAGACGCAGATAAGGGAAACAAAACAGTGGTAATGTACAAAGAGGACTACACAGAGAAGATGAACAAACTACTTGATGACAAAAACACGTATAAAATAGTAAGAAACGATCCAACAAATGCGCTACAGAGAAAGAACAACACCCTGGTTGACGAATTGTACAAAAGCAAAATTATTGACTACAGAGGTAAACAACAACTCGTATGCACAGCAGCGATTGCACCACGACTTTACGGATTACCAAAGATCCACAAACCTGACTTGCCCTTAAGGCCAATTTGTTCGTCCATCAATGTTCCGTGTTATGGTTTGTCCAAATATGTAGGTAAGATTCTCAGTAATCTCATCTCTGAGGAATACAATATAAAAAATGCGTTCAGATTAAAAGATAAACTGGATAAAGTAAAAGTAAGTGAGGAAGAATTGCTGGTGTCTTTTGATGTGGTATCGTTGTTTACCAACATTCCGATACCCTTAGCCATTAATATCATAATGTCAAAATGGAGCACAATAAAACAGTCGACGAACATCCCCAAAAACAAATTTCTGAATATCCTTAATTTCTGCCTGAAAGATAATAACTATTTCGCGTGCAACGAAAAATTCTACATTCAAACCTTTGGAATGCCAATGGGAAACCCTCTCTCACCCACTATTGCTGACATTATAATGGACGATTTACTGAACGCAACTATGATAGAACTTAAAGAAATCTATAAAATTGATATACAACTTATAGTAAAATATGTGGATGACATTTTTGCCATAGTTAAACGAAAGGATGTGGACATTATATTGAAAACACTCAACAAATATCATCGAAAATTGCAGTTCACAATAGAAACAGAGGCAAATTTCCGGATCCCATTTTTAGACGTTATGATCCATAGAAGAAATGACTCTTTAATACTTGACTGGTATTCGAAACCTACATCCACGGGACGTTTAATAAATTATTTGTCGTCACAACCCTCTAAGTACAAAATTAATACTGCTAAGAACTTAATTAATAAGATACTAAAAATAAGCCATCAACAATTTCATGACACAAATATAAAGAAAATATTCAATATTCTTAGAAGTAACAACTACCCGGAGCACATAATTCATAGCCTAGTTAAACAAATAACAACACAAATTAATGACAAACGCAATAACCCTACGATCACAACAACTAATAATGAGACAAAACGCTACTACAGTGTAACATACGTACCTAGACTCAGCGAAAAAATTGATCGCAAGGAATACACTAACAACCAAAACACAATACTAGCATACCGATCAAATCACACGTTGTCTTCAGTATTTACCAAAACAAAAACTCCAATAGAGCCGCACCAACAAAATAACGTAGTGTACGAAATAACATGCGAAGGAAGTGAAAACGAAAAGTGTAATAGAATTTACATTGGAACGACAAAAAGGCCGCTTGCAGTTCGCTTATCGGAGCATGAAGCGGACATCAAGAAGAACAAGAGCAACACGGCACTATCACAACACATATCAGCAAGCGGACACACAGCTGATCTAACTAAAACGAAAATAATAGACAAAGAAAAGAGGGAGAGAACAAGATTCACGTGGGAAAGCTTACGGATATTACAGAAGAGGGACAAGACAATGAACAAAAAGGAAGACACGGATGACATCGCGACTGCTTATTTATTATGTTTATAGCTAAAATCAACAGTATGACAAGTGTACCACACG